GGGAGGACCCGGCCGGGCGGAGCGCGGGGGTGGGACGCGGAACACTCCCCCCGTGAACCGGGACACCCCCCCAACACGGAGGTCAGGTCATGCAAACCCCTATGCCTCCTTCAGAAATCGGGTTTTTTTTCCCCAAAAAAAAGGCCTAGCACTTCCTCACCGACACTCTTTCCACAGGAAAAATAAAAAACCCCTTCCGAGCTGCCAATAACGCGTGTTCAGCCCAGCGCACCCGGAGGCTGCAGTGCAGTGAGCCCCCAGACAAATGTTTCTATACATTTGAATTTCCCTTTGCAAAGCAAAGGCGCTTTTTGGAAAGCAGAGCCCTTTTAATCTCCAATAAACCTCAAAAAATAATGTTGCTGCAGGTGCCCCCTCCTAAATACATATTCAAGAGAAGCCCCAGGTCACACACAGATCTGGTGGCTGTTTTTCCCTCTCCCACGCACTGGCCCAGGGCTTTTGTTGGCCCCTAAAGGGTATATGGGGTTTTCTTTCCAAAATAAAGCACCCCAGCAACTATTGCTACAGCTCATACATTTCTGCAGCAGCTTTGCAGCCCCAGGGGCTGGCAGAGGTTGGAAATCCCTCCCCTCAGAAGCAGGCTGAGACATGGAGCTGGTATCTCTTACCTACACGGAGATTTGCCCAGAAAATGCACTGTGGGAGCACAAGAAAGCACCCTGAAGCTGGGAGAGGTCGCCCCAAGCTGGGATGGAAGGATGAATTTGCCAGCACAACATGGAAGGCCATGGGTGAGGTGTCCTTGTGTGAGCTGCTGAGGGAGCAGCTGAGGTAGTTTTTTAAAAGCAACACCAAAATCAACACTGCCCTTTTTTAGTTTTATTAGCAGCAAGGTATTGGGTTACATAATAATTACAACGTAAGACTTTGAAAAGGTTGGGGCGTGTGGTCATGGGGCAGGCCACAGAAGGCACATCATTTTCTAGATTTTTATCAGCCTCCCTTGGTTATGGCTGAAGCGGCTTGAGAAGCTCCCTGTGCCCTTGCAGGAGGCTGCCCCTCCGTGAAGGCCTGTGGCACGGATGGCACGGTGGGAGGAGAATGGGGGTCAGCACCAAGGCAAACTCTAGAATCACAGAATCATCTCAGTTGGAAAAGCCCTTGAAGATCATCCAGTCCAACCATGAACCTCACACTGACCATTCTCAACTCCACCAGATCACTCAGTGCTGGGTCAACCCGACTTTTAAACCCCTCCAGGGATGGGGACTCCCCCCCTGCCCTGGGCAGCCCATTCCAACACCCAGCAACCCCTTCTGGAAAGAAATACTTCCTAAGAGCCAGTCTGACCCTGCCCTGGTGCAGCTTGAGGCCATTCCCTCTTGTCTTATGGCTTGTTACTCTGTTAAAGAGACTCATCCCCCCTCTGCACCCTCCTTTCAGGGAGCTGTAGAGGGCGATGAGGTCTCCCCTCAGCCTCCTCTTCTCCAGACTAATCCCCCCCAGTTCCCTCAGCCGCTCCCCATCAGACCTGTGCTCCAGACCCTGCACCAGCTCCGTTGCCCTTCTCTGGACACGCTCGAGTCATTCAATGTCCTTTTTATAGTGAGGGGCCCAAAACTGAACCCAGTCATTGAGGTGTGGCCTCACCAGTGCCGAGTACAGGGGTCAGATCCCTTCCCTGTCCCTGCTGGCCACGCTATTGCTGACACAAGCCAGGATGCCATTGGCCTTCCTGGCCACCTGGGCACACTCCCTCTGGGTTCGAGCTATGGTGGGACACACTTGACTGATCTGACGTCCCACATGGTATAAAGCTGCCAAAGAGGGCTGAAAGCCAACAGTGCCCGAAAGGCGTCACAGTTCTGTTAAAATACCTGACGCGGTCCCTCACCCAGGTCACTGCCATCACGGCCAGCACCTCTAGACCTGGCACCGTGAGGTGAGGGCGCGGGGGAGGCCGCACACGGACCGGCGGGGACACACAGAGCCCCGACGGGCCGAAGTGGAAGGGAGGGGATGCACCGGCCGCCGCCGCAAGAGCAGCTCCGGGAGGCAGCGGGCGCACCGCACCCCGGGGGGCGAAGGGCCCCCGGCCCTGGCGGCCGCCCC